ATATAATAATCAGTTAATAAATAATGAGGATAAATTCACATACTACACAATCACACATGTATTAGGTATGCACCTAAAATATCATGTATTCACATCTCACGCACATCACAATCAAACTCACTCAATCACACAAGAGTATTCATCAATACACAAACATATTAATTTCACAAACCTTATATAATGCAATCCAATAATCGACTCGACTCATGCTCGTCACAGTCTCCACTTTGAACCAAACTCACAACTCAACTCTATATGTATGTGGTACCGACTCAACATTTATTTCTTCATACAAATCGGGTTCCAATCTCTAAAACCCCAAGCCACCACATGTTATCTCCAAGCCCCCATATCTAAGCTTGGGATAAGTCACTAGCCTCCACTCTGAACTAGCGAACATGCCTCTTTTACAACAACGATAACATATGATGTATTGCATATTACAATGAAATATCAACAATATAATAGTGAATACATCCCCACTCTAACTTTAAGAAATCACACAAAAACAACATGGAAAATATCAAAGCCCCACTCTGACTCTAATCACTCAGGCGTTCACTGTGCCACGAGTAGTTCTCACTCTGAACCACTCGTATGATCAATCACCAATAAGCATGTATAATAATTATACAATCATACATACGATTCACAATATATATTCATACATTGAACATTTGTTCACACATCAATAATCTCATAAATTACTATTAGGTTATAGCCTAACACATTATCTCTCTAATGCTTTAAATGGCAAGTCATTTGGACCTACGGAACTAAAGTTATAGCCAAAATTGTCGGGAAATATAACAAGTTTCAAGTTCAGAATTTTTTCAAATAATTAAGGTAACAATCGATTGAGATATGATGAAAATTGATTCTCATCACATGTTCCTCCCCTATGTTTCCGATTTTTCAAGAATTAATCGATTGAAAGGCTTGGACAATCGATTGACAACAACAAAATTTCCAAAATATACACACATGCAATCGATTTCAGCCCCATGTCAATCAATTGTTATAGGAAATGTTTCTAAAATAAAGGCATGCAATCCATTGTAATCTAGTGTCAATCGATTGACATCAAGAATTTTTCCAAAAAAAATTATCTTTACAGATCGCTCGTATTCTTCAACTCCTACCTCTTGTCTCTTAAACCAGTCCCAATTATAACCATTCAAACTCCCCAAAATCACAATCTAACATGACTAATACATTAATTACTCGAAGGATATCAAAGATCCATGTTTCTATCATGAATTTCTTGACTCAAGATGGAAATGCTTGGATACAAAATGAGAGTCATGGTACCCGTCATAACCTATTTGTGGTAGGAGTTTGGTGGGCTTGTAGAAATTGTAACTAAACATGCATATTGCATAAACCCATTCCCTAATATCGACCACTACAAAAAAATCGCTTTTAATGATTGAATTAATGACCAAAAAAGCTTTAAAATTGGTCACTATAACTCTTAGCGACCAATAAAGTGACCAACAATTTTTGGTGGAAAATGTGCTTTGGCTGATATTTAGTGACCCAATTTGTAACCCAACCAACGACCAATTTGGGGACCTATATTTAACTGATTAATAAATATGAATAAAATAAAATTTTATGCACAACAGGTATCAAACCGTTCACACATTGCTTATGGTTAACATTTCCCACCACTCAGATACGTTGCATTATTTGTCATTTATATAGCAAAACTTTTATATATATATATATATATATATATATATATATATATATATATATATATATATTACTAAAGATTTGTATAAATAAAGTGGATGCTGCAGGATTCAAACTATCGTCCTTTAGGTTCCAACATGAATCCAACTTTGTAAAATTTAAATATGTATGGCTTAATTCATATTTTAGTCATTTAAATTAATTTTTTATTTTAATTTAGTCTCATGATTCTAAAAAGTTACACTATGGTCCTTTAATCAAACTCTGTTAGACTAATAATCCTTTATGTCAACCTTTAGTGGAAAAACATTAACAGGTGCCTATGTGGCATATTAGCGAACTGGTGTGACATTTTGTTAATGTTTTGTTTCATTTTTTATTATATGTATATACTGATATGTCATATTTAGAAACATAAAATCTAGAACTCTTAAGCTTTCATTTCATTTTCATAGTTCCATTGTCTTTCCCTAAAAAACCCTAGCAGTCGCGAAGAAGAGCTCATGCTTGAAGACGACGATTGTTACCATTGTCTCATTTCCAGGCTAAGGTACATGTATGATCTTACCATTTCATTTTCACAATTATCACCTTAAAATTTTCTTCTACTCTTTCTTTCTTATTTGTTGTGATTAGGTAATGAGTGATAGGTTTGAGTGCGTTATCCATCATGAGGGTGTGTTTGGTGAGTTTAACAAACTAGGTTACAAGGGGTTAGAGGAGATTTTGGATGTTTACCCCAATTTTTGGAGTTATCTTGAGATTCTGGGTGGGTTAAAAGACTTAGGGTACCCAAAAATAGATAGCTTGTGGTATTATGATGCAATGGATGATAATGAGTTAGTGATGTTGCAAGACAATGCAGGAACAAATAAAATGAAAACTATTGCACTAATTAATAGGAATGTGCATCTATATGTAATGCATCCAGTGTTTGGGGAAGAGAAAGTACTGCCTCTTGAAAATAATGTAGGTACTAAGGGTGTAGAAGACGATAACTTGGGAGATGATATGTTGGATGAATTGAATAATAATGTTGTATTAGGAACTTTTGATGATCTGGGTACCATTGAAGATTTGAATAATATAGGTAACAAATTTGATGAAGGAGGGCCCACTGATGTAGAAGATTCAAATGCAGTTGACCAAATATGGATGGACCACTGAGAGCATTAACCAAAAAGAGTTATGTCTGGATGTTAACTTTGAGGGGGTCATTGTGTCTGAGGATGCAAAAGTGGATATTACTTTAGATGGGACCAATGAACATATGGTATGGACCAAGATGATATATTGGATGACACACCTTACTTTGTAAGTGTTCAAACTTATTTAGTTACACGAGACTTATTTGTAACCAAGAAGATGTTGAGGGACTAGAATGTAACAATGAAGATGAGGGACTAAAATGTAACAATTAATGTGTGCATTTGTTATTGTATATTATGGGAGATAAATAAAAGTAACATTTTAGAAAATAAATTTCATTGATAAACAAACAAAAGTAATATTTCAATTGATACATTTTAACCTCCTTGTTCAAAAATACATCTCATTACACAGACAAATAACCAACCTAAAAAAATTATTACAAATACAACATTACACACTAAGCTCAGTATTTCAATGATTACAGACACTTTCAAACATCCCCTAGTGTTAATGATCTCATTCTTCAATTTGTAAATTTTCTTATTTTGCCTCTGGATCTTAAAATCCCTTTCATCAATAATGTCACCGTCGAACCATTTGAAGAAATTACATCCCATTTATTCATACGATTTCTAAAATTTCTGCAACCCCAAAATTGACACTATTCACGTCACCCACTGTACGAAGCACACATTGATCTTGACAAAAACACTCCCTCCTCTTGTTTCTCCGAATAACTGATCCAAATGTTCCAATGGAAGCACTGCTTGATAAATTAGACATTGGGGAATAATAAAACCCTAGGAATGGAGACAAGATTAAAAGAATAAGATGAATAGAAGGAACCAAACACAAAAACAAAGTTCTGAGTGATAATACGCACAAGTAATCTTCTGAAATGGAAACCCTAGGAATGGTGACAACATGAACGAAGAGATTAGGGATAAGTCATAATACGAAGAGATTAGGGATGGTGACAACATGAATACAACATTTACCCCCATTAAATAATAATTTATTTATTCATTTGATGACTAAGTAAAAAATTGGCATGTCACCCTGGCACTTACTAACGGTTTAACACCTAAAGTAACATAAGGGGTCAAATATGTTAACCGAAGTAATATTACAGGACTAAATCGAAATTATTTTTTTATTGAGTGCCTGAATCCTAATTCAAAATTAACTTACGAAACTTTGAGACTAATTATGCCAATATATATTATAAACAAACTAAAATTTTAAAAATTCTCTTATATTATTTGTCATTTATATTAATTGATATAATAAAAACAAAAGTAATTCTATTATGAAATTTGTATATGGGTTATTAAGAAAAAGAAATATTTATATTAATTAGAATTATATAACTTTATTTCAGATGTGCCACTCATCGTCAATAAATTTAATAAACAAAATTAAAAATTAAAATTTTGGTCCTAAAATTTTAGTCACTAATTCAGTGGATAATTTTATTTTATAACCGATTTAACAACATATAAAATTTTACTAACTTTTAGTGGTTGATTCAGTGGCTATAGTGACCAAAAAATTTCGGTCACTAAAAACGATTTTTCTAATAGTAGAGTCTTCTTAGCTGCCCAATCCATGGAAAGACTCCTTTCACTTTTGCTTCACTAAACCTCAAACAGGGGCTCCAAACAACAGTCTCATCAAGTTGAACTCCATCAACTACACCTGTACCATTATTAATGTATATGGTGTTAGAATTAATTTAGATTTAATTAGATATTAATTTATATTTAGGAATATCTTTTAGATTGTTTATATCTTTGTTAGAAGATATATATCTTAGATCTTCTTATATCTTTGTAGAAGATATATTTTAGATTTAATTTTTGTATATAAATAGCCTAGTAAAGTAGGTTATTGTAATTCATTGTAAATCCTTATTTTTGAAGCTATCAGTAAATATTCCTTTTGCCTTTTATCTTCCTTGTGCTCCAACAATTAGTATCTAGAGCTCCTGGTTAGAAATTCTGGAATTTGGGAAACATTGTTTTTTCATTGAGTTTCTGCGTAAATTGCACAAGATAGAAGATGAACGGAAACAACGATATTCATTCCAAGCTTCCAATATTTGATGGCAAAAATTGGAATCGTTGGAAGATCCAGATGCGCGTGTTATTTGGTTCTCAAGATGTATTAGATCTTGTCACTGATGGCTATAATTTGTTAGAAGCAGACGCAACAGAGGCCCAGAAGATAGCACAGAAGGTGCCGATGAAGAAAGATTAGAAAACGTTGTTCTACATCCATCAATATGTGGATGTGAATGTGTTTTAGAAGATTGTTGATTCTAAAACAACAAAGGCTGCGTGGGACACACTGGTCAGATGTTACAGTGGTGACGCATCAGTGAAGAAGGTGAAGCTTCAGTCTCTCAGAAAGAAATATGAGAATCTCAACATGAAGGACAACGAGAAGGTTTCTGAATACATCTCTATAGTGATTCTGATTACTAATAAAGCCTGTGGAGAAAATCTGTCTAAACAAGTAATTATTGAGAAGATCTTGAGATCTTTAACTTCTCAGTTTGATTACATTGTTGTAGAAATTGAACATTCCAAAGATCTGAGCACCATGAGAGTTGAAGAGCTGCAAAGTAGTTTAGAGGCGCATGAGTTGCGTATGACTACAAGAACTTCTGAGAGGGAAGTATAACAGTAGGCTCTGAAGGTAACTTCTGGTAAGAAGCATCAGAAGTTGACTTGGTCAGAAGCCAGGAAGAAAACTAATGATGGTCAAAAGTCAGAAGCTTCAAACTCTGATAGGAAGAAGAATGTTCAGAAGGGAAAGGAGAAGTCTGACATGAAGAATGTTCAGTGTTGCTGTTGCAGGAACTTTGGTCACCATGCCAAAGATTTCCGGTCAAACAAATAAAGGAATTCATAAGAAGAAAATGTAGCCAGAGGAGATTCAAATGATGAACCTGTGCTATTTATGGCTTATGAATCTGATGAGGAACCAATGAAATTGTCATTTTCTGATTCTGAAGGGGAAGAAGAATATGACTCTGAATATTATGATTCTGAAGGAGTGATTTTGTATGAGTCAGAATCAGAATATGACTCTGACTTAGAATAAGATGATGACGCTGAAGATTTTGAAGATGAGTCAGAATCTGAGGTTTTTGAAGATGAGTTAGAGTCAAAAGATGACTCTGAAGCTGAAGACAAGTTAGAATCTGAAGGTGATTCTGAGTTTGAAGAAGATTCTGCTTCTAAATAAGAGTCAAAAGATGATGACTCTGGAAACTCTGAAGATGAGTCAGATGGTGAATCTGATTCTGATCCAGATTTTGATGATGATCTAGAATTTGGTGGTGATCATGCTTCTAGAAGGGAAAACTCTAAAGAAGTAGGTTCTGGAGGACAAGCTTCTAAAGATGATCATGTTTCTGGTAGAAATCATGATTCTGAAAGTGGAACTTCTGAAGGGGGAGCTTCTGAAGGAAAATCAGCCTTTGACGATGGTCATGATTCTGAAAGTGGAACTTCTGAAGGCAGAGGTGATCCAACTTTTGAAGATGGTATTTTTGAAGGTTCTGACTCTGACTCTGATGGTGATCCAGACTCTGAAGACAGTCAAGGTTCTCGAGAAAGTCCAATTGATGAAGCAAGTGCTTCTGAAGGGGAAAGTTCTGGTGTCCAAAGTTCTGAAGGTCTATTTCAAAGGCAACAAAGAGTCAGAAGCATCCCAAGAAGATTAACAGAGTTTGACATGTTGCTAGACACTGAAGTAAACTCTGAAGGAGAAGTTATTCAGTGTTCAATGTTAGTAGACTCTGAACCCGTGAGTACGAAAGAGGCTCTTAAGCACCAAGTTTGGTTACATTCCATGAAAGAAGAACTTGATGCTATAGAGAGAAACAAGACTTGGAAGCTGACAGAACTTCCAAAAGGAAAGAAAGCCATCAGCGTCAAATGGATTTTCAAGCAGAAGCTAAAGCCAGATGGATCAATTGGAAAACACAAAACGAGATTAGTAACAAGATGCTTCCTACAGAAGCCTGGGCTTGATTACTTTGAAGTGTTTGCACCTGTAGTAAGACATGAAACAATCAGACTAGTGATTGCAATAGCTGCTAACAGGAATTGGCCCCTAATTCATTTAGATGTAAAATATGTATTTCTGAATGGTCCATTACAAGAAGAGGTGTACATTTCACAACCTCCTGGATTTGAGAAAAATAATCAGGAAGGGATGGTGTTCAAATTCCACAAAGCATTGTATGGATTGAAGCAAGCGCCCAGATCGTGGAACTTGAAAATTGATTCATTTTTCAAGGAACAAGGGTTTTAAAAGTGTGATATGGAGTATGGTGTTTATGTTCAGCACACTTCCGAAGGTAATATGATTCTGGTCTGTTTGTATGTTGATGATATATTACTCACAAGAAGTTCTGAACAAGAGATAGTTGAGTTCAAGAAAGTTCTGATGAATGCGTTTGAGATGATAGATCTTGGAAAAATGAGTTTCTTTCTAGGGATGAAATTTATATACTCTGAGAAAGGAATCATTTTACATCAGATGAAGTATGAACTAGAGCTTCTGAAGAGATTTGAGCTAGAAAATTGCAAGGTTGCTATCACACCTGCTGATACGAATCAAAAGTTGGATTCTGATTCTGATGGAGAGGATGTGGATGCTACAACCTTCAAACAGATGGTAAGTTCTCTAAGGTGTTTGTGTAATACCAGACCTGATATTTGCTATGCAGTTGGAATGGCTAGCAGATTTATGAGAAAATCAAAGTGGTCTCATTATCAAGCTGCAGTCAGGATTCTGAGGTATGTGAAGGGAACTCTGAAATATGGAGTATTATTTCCGTCTGGAAGAAAGATCGAATCAGAACTTCTGAGTTATTCTGATTCTGATTGGTGCGGAGATAGAGTTGACAGAAGAAGTACTTCTGGGTACTTATTCAAATTTCTGGGAGGTCCTATTTCTTGGTGTTCCAAGAAGCAACTTGTTGTTGCTCTGTCAACCTG